AGTTGCATATATCTGCCATATTCAGGTAACAATATTCACATGAGAGAAGATAACAAAGACACCAAATACTTCTTTTCTTGAGAATTCAAAGACACCAAATACTTCTTTTTTTCCTGATTTGAAAAGAATGAGAAATCATGTGACAGAACAATGGAAAGGCACCTACTTCTCTGCATTGAAGTGCTCAACTCCAAGATCTTCATCCCATATAAATATGTAATCATAGGCAGCTACAACATCTGGATGCAGAAACCTCTTTGCATACCACCTGTCATAGAGAGTAATAACAAATTATGGATGCAAAGGGATTGAATTTAATTTGTATACACTTCAAAAAAAATTTAAAACTTCTACACTGTCAATATATTTTAACCTGTTCTAACATGTAGCTTCTCTTACTTTGTAGTCCACTTTTTATGGACAATTACATGTATTTATTCATTGTGGCCTGATAGTGAAAATGGTTTCACACTATCAGTGTATATAAAGAATCAAGAGGATTAGTTATCGTATGCAAACAACAACATTCTCATCATTTTACATGTTCCTATACATGGAGTCAAACACGCTAATAAAAGGGACTTCCTGAATTGGTAGGAATTCACTCTCGCACATTATTCTTGAAATCTTGAATAAAAACAGAAAGAGATGGAATTCAGAAGGTAATAACTAAACTCAAAGTCTTACCATTTTGTCTGCTTCTTAACACTGATGTGAACTGCGCGCTTGGACCATTCAAATTGATCCCACTCAGTTGTTCGACCGTCATAATGGAAAAGCAAAATTTGGAAATCCTCTGAAAACTAATCCATGTATATATAAAATATAAGACTCAGTATATGGAATACAACGTCAACTGTCAAGAGAAAAGAGAAATAAACACTAAGGCCTAAGATCTATAATAGCAATATAAATTGCTTTATTGCTGTCACCTTTTTAACCGCTGCGTCAATGTTGTACTTTTGATCCAAACCAACTGTAAATGTAACCAAGTACTTGGGCTTTTTTGTCAGATCCTGGAAATACCAAAATTTATCAACAAAACGATAGCCAGAAGAAGCACCAACTAAAAACACAGTCCCTTTCTCACCCTACATTCTAGTTCAATCTGATCATTATTGGCCAGAAACTGACAGAAGTTCAACTAATGTATGTCAAAAAGTTCACACTAAGACACTTCAGGACAGGTCATAATGCATTAAGTTGAACACCAGTTCTAAAATGCACTTTATACTCCTCATGTTCAGTATCCAACTGCTCGTTTTTTAAGGAGCACAAATAAGAAACCAAAACTGACTAAGAAGCACCATTACAAACATTGAAGTATCTAACATAAAGTTTGTGCCACGAAGGGCAATGATATGATTACTAGAGCAGCTCATGAAGAGCAATACAGTTGAAGATTCTTTCTCTTAAGCAGACACATTCAAAGGTTTCATCATCTATTCAACTACCACATATTCTTTTCTTTTTTGTTACATCCGGTTAAACAATATCATAAGAGATATTGGATCCATACCTCACTTGGTTCACCCCACAATCTTCGTAAATAAAAATCTGATTCTGAGACCACAATCCCTGGTGGCAATGACTCCGCGCCACGAGGATTTGATGGGACATATATCTGCAAAAAGGAAAGCAACCCATCAATATTTCAGATCAAATGTCTAGGTGATCCTAAATCAACCTGGCAGTAACAATAAATATCCTACACCATCTCCCAATGCAAAATAATCATGTATTATGTATTTATGTCTCCAAACTTCTCTTTATTCTACAGGGAATTAGAAAAGCTTGTCACAAAGCAAACAAAAAAGTTTGGCGGTTTTGGATATGAACCACGCATACTACCATAACAATGCAGCATTGACCCAGTAATACACAGTGTTTCTAGCTAATTTTACGCTACTAACTCCTCAATTCAAATTTCCGTGACATAATTCAGTTTTAAAAACTAGGCTGACATATGATAAGACAAAATGTTACCTAATGAAAAGCATTTTCCTTTGAGAATGTTTTACAAAAGTACCACCTTAATTCATTCTGTTATAATGGTAGATATGACTGTATGTGGGGAGAGATTACTGGTATTTAGTTCTATTCAGTTCTGGCTCAGACTAGATCAGATCTCTTAAACCCAAAAGCAATTCTTTGCTCAACTTTGTGTGGACCAAGAATATGTGTATTTCATCTTTGAATATTCAAAATGAACCTAGCAAATAACAGGACTGGAATGAAAAAAGCAGAACACACTAGATTGTCTTTATATGAGAGATATATTACAAATACAGGAAACTACATGCAACAGGGACAAAGGGCCTTTAATTTCATAGTAACTGTTTCTCCAACATAATGCTACCAGTACACTAAAAAAATAATGAAATTGGTCAGGGCATTTGTTCTTATAACTTTTATTGGTCGGTAGCTAAAACAACTGTATATGCCACAACACAACTCAGAAATAGCTAAAATTACCCCCACCCCCACCCTCCAACCACAAATGGAGTTAAATGTTCTTTCCTCCCACATAGAGTCCCTAAAGCTATTTCACCATACAAAATATGTTCATTATAACTTATAAATGATATATTCCATCAATCAGCAATGAAATAAATACCTTTGGTGTTAAAGGAGTACTACCAGAACCAAGATTCTCCGGGAAAGTACGCTCTATAGCACGTCTATGTTCATCATTGAAAGCATAATCGAGAGTTGATATTAGGCTTGAAGGTAAATTAATCTGCAAATGACTCGAAGATTGTAATGAATGATAAAATTAAATTGGTTTATACCACAAGAACCACGCAGGCATTGAGCTAACATACCTTTGTTAGAGAAACAGATGGAAAAGAAATCCCAACAAAGTATCCAAACACCATTCCCATGATAGTGGTTATAACAAGTGTAGTACTATCATTCGATCTTTTGTAAGCCCCACTGTTACAATAAAAATAACAGAAAGAAGCTGATTTAAGCTATATGTGTCAAAGATAAGCTCAACTTTGAAATTCATTACAGAGACATGCAAATAATGCCTACGAACCTGCGGTAAGGGGTTCCCATTTTCACAAAAGTTGCTCAACTCAAAGGTCACGCACTAGGCAGAAACCAATTCCTTGAGCATCCTCCAGTTTCAGAAAGCAAATTCACATACCTGAAAGTTTAAATCCTATTAGTCATGGGGCAATAAGTCACACATCACAATCACTCAAAAGAAAAAAGTCACACCCAACACCTAAATGATGTCAACTAATCTTTTAACCTGACAGTGGGATCAATTGCTAGAAATATCTCGGCAAAAGTTCTATTCCAATGAACCATAACTATACAACAAAGCGAGGAAAAATAATTGAACAACCATTCTCCCAAAAACTCAATCTCTCAATTCAAATTACTAACTAAAGACTCCAACACAAAACCAGCTAACATTTCTTATACTCTGTCCAGATAATAATTTTACAATAAAGACATATTTCCTTTCATAAGCAAGTTAAGTTTCTCCTATAACTTCAACAACGTGAAAACAGAAACCTTTATGAATGTAACTTTAAGGTTACAATTTTTACACAACAACAACAACAACAACAAGCCTAGTGTAATTATATGTGTACACGGCCTTACCACTTGTGAAGGTACAAAGACTATTTCTGAAAGACCGTCAACTCAGGTAACAAACATAAAAATAAACAAGGTGTAAACCAACCACAAAGCTTCAATTTTTACAATTTCCTTAAAAGTGGGGTTAACAAATCTTGCTTACTGATCTCAACCATAAACCTCCAACATCAAAATTAGAACAAATTACAAATATTTTTTAAAAAAACACAAAAACCCTTTACTCTCCTACACATATTACAATAAAATGAATCAAATTAAGACTAAACTATCAACAATGCTGCTAACATTCAATATAAAAACTGAAAAAAATCCATTCTTGACATATAAAAAAACTCAAAAAATGTAAATAAAATTCTTATTAAACCCTTTTCGTTATCAATAACACCTTAATTTCCATTTCTACGATCAGCCATTTGATTATTATTATTTTTTTTTCAAAAAATCTTCAAATTTAACTGTTAAAACCCCAAAAAAATCAATAAATGGGCATTCAAAGGATCGTAAATGAGAAAAATAAAACTAGGGTTTGAGAGATTTACAGGTTCCGCCGATGGGTTTTCACGAAGAAGAAAGATAGATCTTCCTAAGAGATCGGGTTCAAGGTTTTTCGATTTATTGGAGAAGAAATGTTACAAAAATTTTGAAAAGAAATAATAATACAAAATATGCGTTTTGCTTTGAAATTATGAAACAGGAAGAAAAAAAATGTAAACATGTCTTTCTCTAATTTACTATATTATCCTTTTGTGAAATATTTTCTCCGTCTCAAAATAAATCATTCTTTTTAGCCTATTTTACGTCTATTAAAAAAAATATGTATAATAGCGCCTTCGTTTAAATGTGGATTTTGTGAAATATAATTAAATGTATGCTATTTAAAAAAATATATTTTTTAACATAAAGTTATATCGAATAAATACTATAGTTAGTCTTAAATTTATAAAACATTATTTATTTTAAGATAACACACATATATATATATATATTTGTTTGGATAGTTTAATAAAATTTGCTAGTGAATTGTTAATGAAATTATATAGTGCTTAATTGGTAAACATGGGAGAAACTATCAAAAATATTGATTAGTTTGCATGACAATATTAGTATATTATTCCCTTTAAAAAAATGTATACGTGAGATTAGGCGTTGAACTAATTATTTGACTTTTTCATATTATTTATGATGAACCCAATATTATATTTCATAAATAATTATTTTTTAATGCATACATATCGAATTTTCTATAATATATTTTTTAGAAATTTAATAATATAATAATACTTTTAAAATGTTCGAACAATATAGTTTACTGTGACGATGATCTCATTATATATGAACAAGAAAGAAATGTGTCATCATGCTTCTTTCATGTTTTATCTTCCATAACAAATAATGCATTTAATTAACTTAGGTTAGGTAAACCATCTAAATAATTTTTTTGAAAGCAAAAGCTAAGTTTTTTTCTGAATTATCTTTTGAATAATAAAATAAAATTGTGTCCTTAACATTCTACTTTTCATGAGATGTTGAGACTTAAACCACCCAGTTTCCATGTTGGTGTTAGTTGGTAGGACTCTTTCACTCACTAGATCCCCGCGTATTAATTTAACTTTTATGTATTGACAGTATATGTTGTATTTCAATAGTCCTTCGTTCATTGAAAAGAAAAAAAAACAAAGAGTGTATGTACCAAAAATAAAATAAAATAATCACCGAATACGAGTTACAATGTAGAATACGCACAACAAAACAATCACACGCCAAAACTTTGATATTTCTAACTCCCAGTTCAAAAAATGGTACTTGAGTCTGGATTCGAAATAATACTTTCTAATATTTTGCTCGGCCCAAAATAATTATAACGTAATCAGTCTCATTCACCGTATTAAGGCCATAGGCCCCTACGGATTCAGCTTGGTTCGCAACATTGATGAGTGAGCTCTTCCACCTAATAGACTAGTCGTTTTGGTTTTGGACGGTCAAGCATGTTTATTTTATATAGCAATTGGTATCAGAGTAAAGCAGGTTGATCGATACTCGTGTGGAGTGCTTTTGAGTGAATTTTTTGTTTCATTTCTTTGATTGATAACAAGATTTAGGCATAACAAAGAGAATACAGATTAGCCACTTTTGGCTGCAACATTAAAGCCTCATTTTTTTCTCTTAACACATAATAATGTAACATAAACACAAACAAAAAAATTGTAATTTGTAATCAGAATCTTGCACAATGTGATGGTAAACCTGTATCGTGGTGAACGGAGACTATCTCCGTTGGACTGCATTGAAGTACGTCTGTACCTAGTTTGGCTCCTGCTGTCTTCAAGCCTTTCAATGAAACAGGTTGATTGAAGAGGTTTAACGAAGGTAGCTTCGAAGCTTGAGGCATTTTCCCATAAGGCAATAGGTTCTTGAAGTCTTCTTTTAGTAGTGGTACCTCAAAATCCGCTTTGTTATGTTTAACTACATTGTTCTTAGCTGCAATGTGAGCTCCTGGTTCCATATGGTTTGTTGAAAAGCTCATTTGATTTGGGAAGTTCGGATAAAGGCTAACGTAACCTCTTAAGTACATCATGTCTATCAAGAACTTCTTCCAAGAAGCTTGCCATCCATTAGTTCTTGATTTTGGTATCTGTACTGGATTTTGCTTTGGATCTTCCGTGAATCTCATGTTCATGTAGACGTAGAATTCCTTCCATTGCTTAGGGAAAAACACCGCGCCCCAACTGCAAGGCAACTGATGGAGATATGGTGTGTTTGGATGTATGTGTTTGAAGAAGTCAGTTGCATTCCATTTAGGCCTTTCTTTAACAACTTCCACCAAACGTGGCGTGTAAAGAGAGATGGAGGAGAGCTCGGGGAGTGATATTAGAGGGTCATAGTGGTAGGCTAAGAGAGCATATTTGATCCATAGGTAATAGTAAGGGGAGACTTCGATGTCATCTTCGAGTAAGAGACCAAAATCATCATCCGATGAGGGGTACCAACTCTCACTAACAGCGCGAATTAGGCCTCCTTGAATGATCCTTCTTCGAAGAGTTTTGGTTCCGTGAGGCCAATTGAATGAGTTAACAAGCTTTATAGTTGCCTCATCTACCTTACTATCCATGTTGAAAGTTATAGGAACTTCATCACCTATGTAGTACGCGTCACTCAGCGCCTTGAGAAGCCTTGCTAGTGAATTAGCTCTGTTCTGTGTGATGATGTTTATAGAAAGCGTCATACGGTTCCAATCTGCAAGTACAAATTGCATTGTTCAGACTATAGATCAAATATAACAACAGCAACATACCTAGTCTAGTCCCGGAACGTGAAGTTTGGAGAGGATAGAATGTACGCTGACCTTACTCCTACCTCAGAGGTAACGGAAGTACTAGAAACAACAGATAATAACAAAAAAACAGCAGTTACTAACAGATAATGTAAGGTTCATCGATATCTTACTTGGCAAAGCTGTGGAACGAAGATCAGCCATCCAAAGAACCTTAGTGACCGATGATCTAGGTAGAAGAACCAATTTTGAACTGTTTGTGTTAGCTTCGGTAGCCATCTTGAGTGCTTTCATCACATTAGAATCTGCATCAGCTACTGTGATCACGAGGCTCGGGTTATGAATCTTGATTAGTCCTTTCATGCTGGCATAGACTGCTTGAACGACGGGGACTTCTGAATTTGATATCCCGGATACAGCACCAACGCCTAAATCCATAATCTTGAACCTCCTTTCTGTGCATACTATTTTAGGCCATTTCAAAGCTGCAGCAGCATCTTCACAAGGGCAGAAACTGCCTCCTGAGACAACAATGTAGGCCTTTTTTCCAACTGTTGATCTGAACTTTTCAAGAAGAGGTGCGAGAGCTTTAACTTCATCGACAGAATGGGCATAGAAAAGTACATCAATCTTCTGAGGATTCATCGCTGCCCATTGCGTTATGTAACCAGTGGAGAGTGCTTTCCACCACTGATCATCTCGGACTTGAACCGTGTCCTTGAATATAACAGTGGTTTCGGATACATAAGCAAGTCTGTGCTCACTGTCACCCCATGTTTCTTTGTCATTTGAATCAACTGGTAGCACAAATGAACCAGCATTTCTATACTTCTGAAGCTGATAGCTGCATTTTTTTCCCCACGAAAGTAAAATTGTTAGAAACTTAAAACGCGTAACTGCTTATTTATAAGTCATAATACACAAACAAACAGTCGACAAGTAAACACTCCCAACTTTGAGTATGTACATCTATACGCCTCTAACTCGTCTTCACTGTATGTGTCACGTCAAAATGAGGACGAGTTGGAGTGTTATAGATTATATCACTCTGATCATACTATATCTATCTATAAGCAAATTATATTATAACTGAAGTAGAAAGCATTACCTTAAGTGTAAGTCTTCTCCTGTCATGAAAGTGAAGGGCGTCTCGATGAAGAGTGTCTTGACAAGTTCAGCAGAAAGAAACCAAGAACTCGATAGGAAATCCGCTTGAACAATTCTATCCACAGTGATATTATAAGCAGGATCAGGCAAATAAAGCCCTGCCTCCTTGGATCGAAACTTCCTATAGCTCGGAAAAATGAAATCTTTCTGTCTAAAAGGCAAAATCCTACCAATACTTCCCAAAACAGAATTCATATACTTTTCTGTCCCTGCAACATGTGCTAAAATCTGCAACATTTTCTTCCCTGGGATCATGTCATCGTCTACGATATACACAAGATCAGCTTCTGTTTGCAAAGCCATTTGAAACCTTCCATAGTACTTGAAATCATAAGACGAACTGATAAAGCTTATACGCGAGTCATTGTAACTATCTACGATCCTCTTGAGTGATTCCTCATTAGGACTTCCAAACGCGACAACCCAAACATGATGAAACTGAAGTGTTTGTCCAAGTAAAGAATCAATCTGAGCACACAAAGTTTTCCTCTTGAAATGATTCAAGATCACAGTGATTTTCGGCTTGTTTGGACCTCGTAAATCCCATTTCGACTTCATCAACATCAACTCAGAAAGTGTCTCAGTACCACCAAGATTCTTGTTCTGAAAGTCCCTCAATTCTTGATACAACTCTGTCTTCAACTTGATCATAAGTGCATCATTAGACTTCTTTTGTTCAAAATCAATCTTCTCATGTTCACAAACATCAGAAGGACTAACAACTGACTTTTGCTGCACAACATGACTAACAACATGTGGAGGTATAATGAAGTGTTTCCACGACCGAGCTATTCGCGTAGCCCAAGTAAAATCTGGTTTAGAACTTAAATCTATTGATGGACTCATGTAATACAGAAGAAATGTTGCATAAACAGCAAAAGAAAACTGTAAACAAGTTAATATTGTCACAACTTTAGTTGAAGAACCTTTTTGTGATCTCATTTTTGCTGCTTTTCCTCCCATATAATCACTCAACATACCTTCTAAAGAATCACCACTTCTTATATTACCATTTCTAGCTAACCCCATCTCATATATGGACCCAAATCCACCTACAAAAATGTTAAAAAAGACTATAAATACAACGACAAAGCCAGGATTTTCACTAAAGGGGTTCAATGTCTGCTATATATATATATACATAAAAGATAACTTTAACTTATATCAGTATAATTTTCTGTCGAAGGGATACGTATAACAATCAAGTAAAGATCAAATCTTGAAAGAACACATTATTTTCAGCATATATACTGTAAAAAGTACTATACATATAAGCTCTACACCAATATTTTTGACTAACTCAAAATCTTGAAACTCGTTAAAATTAAAATTCTGAAACTGTCTTTGTTGATACTTAACCAAAAACTATACAAATTTCAATCTATGATTCTAAGAACACATTATTTTTCAACATAAACTATAAATATTTACGTGAAAAACTTCGAAAAATAGTATTAATATAAGTTCTACACTAATATTTTCGTAAAAAAAAAAAAACAGAATCTCGAACTCGTTATATTAAAATTCTAGAACTCCTCTATTAATACTTAACCAAAACTTAACACACAATATATCAATATCTCAAAACAAAAATCCTATGATTGAAAAAAACAACATTATTTTCAATATCGACTATACGTGAAAAACTTTGAAAGATAGTATGAATAACATAATTAGTTCTACATCAATATTCTCAAAGAACTTAGTTAAAATTTCTGAAACAGTCTCGATCGATATTTAGACCAAAATTACAAACTTACCTCACAATATATGTCAATAGTTGATCAAACAAGGTTGAAAATGAACTTGTCCAAAACAACTAATAAAAAGTGTTATGTCTTTTTTTTTCTTTTTTTTGTTGTATTGGAATTTGTAGAACAATGGATCTTGTGCAAAATATATATATAGGACATTTTAATTTAAAAGTATGTGTGAAAAGTAATTAATAAAGTTGGAATTGAAGGAAGCCATGAGAAATGAGGCAAGATCACATGGGGTTAACGGTTTAAAGTTAATATATAATTATACTATATGCTTTTCTTACACATACAATCACTTAATTCATTTCATTTCATTAATTAAAAAGTCCGGTTTTTTAGCCTTATAAAATGGCCTCCTACTGCCTTTTCAACACTCCAAATCTAAATCTTTCGAGTCTTATAATATCAGTTTTCTCGTGAATTTTATATTTTAACTATATATCATCATCATTGTTAAAATATATATCTCAAATATTGATTAGGTTAACTATTGATCGATTGTTATATTTTTCTAACTGTATTCTCACCATTTATGTATTATTAAAACATACTTCGAAGCTGATTAGTACTGTGATCGATCAACTATTTTCTAATTTTTCTACCTGAATTGTCACCATTTTATGTATCAAAATACACCTCAAGGCTGATTAGCCCTATGATCGATCAACTATTTTCTAATTCTTCTACCTGAATTGTCATCATTTATGTATCAAAATACACCTCAAGGCTGATTAGTCCTGTGATCGATCAACTATTTTCTAATTTTCTACCTAAATTGTCATCAATTATGTATTAAAATACACCTCAAGGGTGATTAGTCGAACTATTAGTTATTTTCCTAGTTTTTCTATCTAAACTATCACCATTTATGTATTTGAACATAATTCGAAGTTCATTAGTCTAACTATCTGTTGTATACTTTTCCTACCTAGTTTGTCACCATATAAGTATTAGTAATAAAATAACTAAAATACACCTCAAAACTTATTAGTCCAACTATTTGTTGTGTGATTATCTATTCAACTAGATCTGTTTAATTTAATACATAAATTTAATACATAGATGATGATAATTTAGATAGAAAAAATAATTGATAATTAAAATGTGAATAAACTCGCGAAAAAGTAAAAGTTAATGTTTTTTATCAATATTTTAAGTACTATAGTACTAGTAGTAATCTATTTTTATTTATCAATTACTTATTATTACAATCTTAAACGGATTCCTTTAGGAAGAAAAAAAAATATTTAAATTATCAAAATTTAATTAGAAAGAAAAAAAAACGTTGGAATTAGGATATTACTCAAAGTTATTGATCCCATGAATCTTTTAAATAGTAAATTATAGAATATCATTATCAGGTACATACATAATATATTTTCACTTGCAAATAACTCAAAGAATCACACAAAATGTTAAAACTCTCAAATTGTCAAACCCAACTTCCAAGAATTCAATTAAAAAAAAAAGAAAGAAGATAAAAACGTGACAATTTGATGTATAGAACATTTTTATATTATATTATTCATGTAAGGTCGAAAAAAAGTTATAATATATGTAATGTAGATAAGTAAAATACTCTAATACAAATATCAATAACTTCATCCATAGCCCGAACTCATCATGCCTTATATATATCACAAGAAAATAATTTTACTGTTATTCTAAAAATTCTTTACGAGAAGATAACTTTACTGTTATTCTAAAAGTCCTTTAAAATAACTCAAAAATCACTATATAAATAAAAGTAAAAATATAAAGTGATGTATTATAGATTTTAATAAAAAAATTGATGCTAATCCTTTTTTGACAATGAGTTATCAAAGAATCATGTTAGATATTAATTATTCACCAACATGTTAACCTATTTGACTATGCAAGTTGTCTTTTTTTAAAAAAAAAACAAACACATTTGAAATTTGTAATGTTAAAATATAAGCATGCATGTCATTTTATTTTATTTCGATATTATAATATTTTTATCATTTTAATTCTGAAGCATTTTTTTCTAATCAATCGATTTATTAGATAATTAAAATGAGACGAAGAAAATAGTAAAAAAAGTAATAGCAATAAATACTAAGATAAGTGTACATTACCTTGGGAATAAAGAAAAATGAAATTAATTAAGAACACAATATTTGAGAGCCTTTTCTTCTTTAGCAATTTAAGCTTAAACCAAAAAATATCAAAGAAAAATTGTGATTGGATAAAAATAGTTTGAGTATGAAGAATTTATAGTGAAATATAAAAAAGTTGGCCTAAGTTGACTTTTTTAAGAATTAGTATGAACATACATATTATATGTATATAATATATATAGTAGTACATTTTAATTTTTGAGTGGATGAAAATTGCAACAATACTTCATGTTATTGCTTTTTTGCCAAACTTTTGGAACAAGTTGAATACTAGATTGATTTGCTTACATTTGTGACATATTTCTATAAAGTTCATCTTCGAGGAAATTGTATGTATGCAGCCAATATAATGGTTCTAAAAATTTGTAATTTAGAAAAATCGATTTCAAGCTTTGGATATCAATTTTTTCGAGTGTTTAAAATTATTAAAAATGAAAATTAACTTCTAAAGTTCAACGAAACATGTTTGAAGATGACAGAGTGATGGTGTACGTGATGCCTAAAATATAGAGCCTTTGCTTGTCTATCTAAGTCACGATCAGCAGTCGATTTGTAGTTGTGCTTTAAGTTGAAGTCGAAGCCGAATTTGGAAAGAATTGTTGTTTTAACGAGTGAGTCCTTTGTATTAGTTTCAGATTGTTAATATAAAGGTTGGGTTTGTTCGTATGTTTATGTGTTCATTTCGTTGTTGAAATTTTGAAAAATAATCTGAGGCAGAAAAAAAGAAAAACATCCTTAAACGTTAGACAGAATAGGCTGCGATTTAGACTGAGTTAAGTGGGATTTGACTGCATCACATTGCGCTAACCTCACCTAGTTAAATTCTAACGTTAGTAAATTAGGACTTTCTTAGTAGTGATTGGTTTAATTAATTAATTAATTAATTAATTAATAACTTATACGTGACGATAATTTTACGTATAAAACGTTGCATGACAAAAAGACAAACGCATATTAAGTGAAACTTTAATCAAGGATTTGTTTTTGTCGTTAATTCATTTTAAAAGTTTAGGTGAACATTTACATGAAAATAAGGTTTATGTCTCTTTTTTTCTCTCGAAATTATTAGCATATACTAAAGCAAAAAAAATGAACTTTTAATTTAATTGCAATAATAAACAAAAGGAATAAAACAGTGAAAATTGTTTGTGAAATTATTAATTAATGCCTATATACAAGTCAACGTAAATTAGATCTATATACACATTTTTTAAAGTTAAATATTCTCTATTATTTGTCATGATTTCTATTTTTAGAGTCAAATTATAAAAACATTGACTAACATTTTAAGACGTACTTTTTCATCATATTAATATTTTAAAAAAAATAATTTATCGTATTTTTTATATAGTTTTAGAATATCTAATTTTTTTTGTTTAAAATATCGAATTAATGTGATTTAAAAATTAATCAAATTGACTTTCGATAAGCGCAACATGACAACTGGATGAACTTTAAAATTGATTTTCAAACATATTATTAGTCATTTTTAATTTAATCTGCTAATTCAAACGAACTCTTTATATTTGAATCATTTCTTCAAAAAAGTTATTATTGACTTTCAAAAATATTTTATTTGGTGTTCATGATCTACTATAGTGCTTTATTTGGTATTTTTTGTTTGTATAGTATAGAAGTACATGATTGACTCTTGAGAATTTTTTTTAGGGTTTTGACCCTACATAAAATATAGAAAAAAAGAAATAAAAATATTATTTATTTTTTAGTGTAGAGATTTAGTTTTATTTAAAAAAGGATGTCATAATTCTCTAATCATAAATTAAGTGGGCGGTAGGTACATGTGAAGAGATCCATTCTCTACGTATAATTTCATGATCAATATATATATGTGAAACTCTAATTATTATCAAATGGATTTGACTTATATACTTGATAGATTAATAGTGTAAAAAAAAATTACTAATTAACATGTTATAATATGAAATTTTGTTTATTATTGGATTAATAAGAAATTATCTTATAAATAATCTAATAGTTATATGAGAAAATAACAAAAATATCATCTTTATTCAAAGTGTTCCGTTAAATATTATACTAATAAAATACGAGTATTGTTAGTATTTATCGAATATTTAATAAACTTTAGTTATTAGATTTTATAAACACTGTGAAAATAAAAAGAGAAGAAGATTTAACATGAATTTATATTGAAATTGGATTGGATATTTCATTGGTTTTTCAGAAGATTTTAATGACGATCGAACTCTTCTTCTCTGAAAATCTAAATATATATCTATAACATATAATATATACAAATTTTACCTACATTTTCATGAAAAGTGAAAGAGATTATTTTCGATGTTTGAGAAGATTTAAAGTTTGAAAAAATTTATGGATAACTACACAAAAATCAAATTTATGTTAGGGTTTGTCTAGTTGCATAATGCATATGGCCTAACAATATATATATACACACCAATTAATAATGTGTTTGAAATCAAAGTCTAAACTTCGTCTTTTTTTTTTATCCTATGTCCAAAATTTCAGAGACACACTTATACTATACTAAGGTCCTATTACTAACCTGAACAGATTTTATTACTAATTTTCTATTCCTTTTCGGCCATGTGGCACTATCTTGTGTGTCTAACGCTGATTGACTTTTTTTCAAGCTAGTGCTACGTCGATCGAAACGAAATAAAAAATTACTTATATAATAAGTTCAGAAGGATAACATGACCTTAATATAGCATAAGTGTGTCTCGAATATTTTCACTTTTTTCAATTTGAGATAGACATAAACCTATTGGTCAATATGAAGAACTTGGTCCTCAAGTGGATGTTAGATATAGATTCTTTTGATGATATATATAAGTGGAGTTATTCCTAATTTAAATGTATTATCTCGAGGCATTTCACATGCTATAAGGAAACTTCTATGTCCTTCTAATTTTCAAAGGAAATAATTTAATACTATATATTATAAGTCCTAAATAATATAGTAAATATATGTATAGGGTGATTTGAGCCTAATGTTCCCTATATTAAGGTCAAAAACACTTGTCTTTATTGGTATATAAATTAGTGTAAAAATCATATAATGTGGACTTTGCTTCTTTCTAATTTGTCTTTATACTTTTTTTAAAAGAATATTTTCAATAATAATAGATCCATATTGAAGAAAGGAGATGGGAAAATAGAGACATATAATTAGATTTGAGTTTACTATTATAATATTGAGCTAACTTTCTCCTCGAATTACTCCGGTACGATGAATTAATAGGAGGTATTAGATAAAATAGGATGTGATAGAAGAGTTCATTTTTCGTATAACAAATACTTAATACTTTATATCTACGGTCTATTTTCATTCTTTTCTCTATCAACAAGAGGGATCGAAGAAAGATACTTATTTGCCTTTTTCTTGAACGGAGGAGGACTATATTTATTAACCTTTTTATCAAAATATTTTCTTGGTCGAAGAGTCCCTTTTTAAGTGAAACGTGTTTAAATAAA